TCTCTCTCTCTCTCTCTCTCTCTCTCTCTCTCTCTCTCTCTCACACACACACACACACACACACACACACACACACACACACACACACACACCATGTGCAAGGAAGATGAGCGATAGCGAACTTCAGAAATCAAACAGCATCATACACACAAGACCAGATAGTCGTGACCTCGAACCAACAACAGAATTGCATCACGAGTTTCACCAAATAAGAACACACCAAGAGCTCATAATTGACAATGCTGGTAAAGTCTCATCATCATCATCAATGAAGAACCAATGTTGATATCCTATCTGGCGCTCGGCGCCCAGACTACAGATGGAAGATCCTATCTAGCCTACTCTACAATGCCGCCGGATGACGACAACAGCTTCACCGAAGTACGAGCAGATCTCGGACAATGCCGTCGCTTCTAGCACCAGGTATGTCTCTCGTATCACTCACAACCCCGTTCCTCAACTCGCAGATGCCACTTGCACCCAAGGACCACCATGCGCCACACCCAGCCTACAGCAGCGCAGCTTGGCTATGGCTGCCTGCTCCTTCCAGCTCGCCCGTGAGCGCGTGAGTGCCAGCCAGCTTCAGCGCAGCATGCAGCCAGCACCCGAATGTCCAATGCGGAGGCAGGTCCTTTGCTATATGGAAGTGGCCTGCCTGCGTTCTGTCCCAGGCTGCGTTGGGCCTTTCCCAAGAAGCTTCCGGTAGGCCCCGGTAGACTGAGGCCCAGACCAAACGAATTGGCCCAGGGCTGCCGACAGTTGCCTGTGCCCAACTGCCCGCAACCTGAGTTGGGCCTATGCTGTGAATCTCGCCCAGTGCCTGACTCAGATGCATTTGATAAAGGAAGCCAGGGCAACCAACTGGCGCAGCGCAACTGTCTGAATTTTCCCCAGTTGCGAAGTAGTCCAAAATAGGCCTTTGAGGGTCTGTCGGGCCTGCCTTCACTTAGGGCGGCCGACGCTGTTGCAAATAGGGCCCAGTGGGGCTTATCGAGGCCTTGTGCCTCGCACATGCAATTTGAGCCTTTATGAGATGTAAAGCCAGTGCACATTTGGAATATTGTTTGCATGTGTTTTTTTCTTTTTCTTTTTATGTTGTCAAAAGAAGAATATGAGAATTGTGCAATGAACCTCTTAGTTCAACACAAGTGAGCGCACACAATCACACCACATGCATGTATGAGATCACACAAATTTTCAGACTGGAGACCAGAAAGATGAAGACCAGGTAGCGCAGCTTATAATCTCAACAAATTAACATATGAGCGAGCAATGAAGAGTTTCAATCACCAGCGCTCAATAGCGCAACCCAAGTATCCCGTATCTTTACTCAGGTATGTCTCTCTTCCAGAACTCTTCTATCTTGATCTTCTCTCTGTCTACCATCTCACCGTGTCTTCTCTCCGTGCTACATGCGTTCACACATCTACTACTCAAGGATCTACTCTGAATACACCCACTGATACACCTACTAACTGTCTGAACTTCTGAAGTCTACCACTAACATTCTGCACTGGCGCAGCTGTGGCTGCCTTCTTTCTGCCAGCGCTAACACTTCCTCTCTCTCTCTCCCTTAGCGCAGCACTCTGGCTTCAGCGCTCTGCCCTTCACTACAGCGCACAAGTGCACCAGCACTTCCGCACATCTTGCGAATGAGCAATCTGCCCGAATGGTAGGCTGGCCAGTCCTTTTGTAGTTTTGGAATGCACTTCAACTTGTGCCAGCCTCTGCTTTCTGGGGCCTGACTGGTTCCGGTACCACATCCCCACAGCCTGTCTGCTTCTGAATGTCAAGGCCTGGAACCTTCCCGAATTTCCATTGGTCTGCTGCTGCTTGGGCCTTTGAGTCATGATTCTTCACTTGTGAACGTCTTTTGACTGTGGACTGTGACTCCTGCCTGTGGGACATGACTTTTGCCTGTAGAACTGCCCTTTTAATCATGGGATGTGACTCTTCAATATGACTTTTCATTATGAGACGTGACGCCTGCCCCTAAGATGTGACTGTTTGCTGGGTGCCTGTTGGACTGGACTGCTCAGGTACCCGACTGTGACTTTTCGGAATTTGACGAACTCGGCCTCTTTTGACCACACTTCTGACCCTGAGACCCGAATTTGGGGCCTGAATTCGTGGAAGGCTTTTCACTCTCGCCGGCCTAATTTCGAGGTCTTCTGAGAAAATTACCAATTATATCTATCTACTATGTTAACTCCTCTCTTAGCTCTTTCATAATATGACACAATATGCAGTGCTGTTTCTATTAGTTCATCTCTCGTAAACCAGCGATCTTCTGTAGGCTCCTGGTAGGCAAATCTGACCTTATACTATTGCTCTGGTCTACCCCTGCGTCCAGATCTGTAAACATCTTCCCCAACAATCCTATCCACGTCATACTTACCATCCATTTCAGGGGGAATTATAGATCTGCGTGATGGAAACATGTCATTACTAACGCAAGGAAGTAATTTTGAAGCATGAGACACCGGATATGTGTGTAAATGACGAGGAATTTCGACAATATACGAGGGACCGTCCACATCACCGATTACATCCAGAATCTGCCACGGACCTCTATAGGCAGGTAACAACTTCTGAGAGATGTTCTCCTCGGGAAGAAACTCTTTTGACTTCAGCCAGACTAGATCGCCTACAGCAAATTGCGAGGGTCTACGGTGCTTGTTAGCCTGTTCTATCATCTGACTCTGTGCCTTACTAATATTCTCTTTAACTTTTTCCAGATCTTTCTGATATTGGACAGCGAATTCCCTAGTTCCTGGCGGGAGTCTCTGTACTTGATCAGGGTTTAGGCAATCAATGGGTCGACGAGGGCGCCACCCAAGATGCAGTTCGGTAGGCGTTCTTGATGTAGCTAGATGCGCAAAGTTATTATAGGCACTTGCAACTTTTGGCAGATGTTCATCCCAGTCAATCTGATCTGGCCGGATGTACATGCACAACACTTGCTGCAGCAGCTTATTCATCTGCTCAGTTTGTCCATTTGTCTCAGGGTGTCTACCTGAAGACATAGTCAGTTTGGTTACATACACCTTCATCAGTTGCTGCCACTGCTCACCCGTGAACCGCGTATCCCTATCACTTACAATAGTCAAGGGATGCCCAAAATCTTTTGCCCAATAATTAAAGAATTCCCTAATCACCAATTCAGTTCTTGCTTCTCACGGAAGTGGAACAAACACAACAAACTTGCTAAACCTGTCCACTATAACCATAACTTGACTTGTTCCATTTCTACTTCTTATTTTCGTATCCATGCAGTCGATAGACACAGAGTCTCCAGGACCTGACAAAATGGGTAGAGGTTTGAATAAACCAGGGGGAGGAACTTGGCAGCCTTGCACATAAGCGATACAGTCGTGTTTCATTCCAGTCCATGTGTAGGAACGCAAGAGGTTAGCATATGTCTTTCTCCAGCCAAAGTGTCCCTCAGTGTCATGACATTTCCCTAGGATCAAACTTCTAATCTCTTCGTTGTTTGGAGTACACAGTCTGTCATGCACATCCGTCTTTTCAAACAACAGTCCTTGAGTCACTCCTATAATCCCGAACTTCATGAGGTGACTCTTGCACCTTCTTTATTAGCGCACTATAGATAGGATCAGCAACGTATGCAGTCCTAACCATGGTTACGATCCGGACGTCCGGACCGCCGTCCAGACGGTCTGGGTTCAGTCCGGACTCCAGACGTCCGGTCTGGAAGGTCCGGATCTGCCAAAATTCGAGGAAAAAAAACAAAAAAAAACGGTACAGGACCCTTCCCAATTGAGGAGCCAAGCCCCCAAAATTGTTTTGGGGTTTTTTCAGGCCCGTTTATGCTTTTTTGGGGGGTCCGGACATGCTCTCTCTCTATAATGATTTATTAGACAACCCCAATGTTTTACTTATTAATAATTCATTACCTTTTATTAGTTTTAAACTTTAAACTTTAAACTTTAAAGTCTTTTTTTAAGTTTTTTTTTATAGTTTTTGACTTGTAACTCAAGTTTGGTTAGGAATTCTGACATGACTCTGAGGCAAAAGTGGTTTGCATTGTTATTCTGCATAGCATACTTGTTTTTCAGATTTTTTTATTTTTATTTTTTTTAATGGTCCGGACATCCGGACCGTCCAGATCCCCCCATGTCCGGAGGTCCGGAAATGTTCGGAAACTACCAACACAGGTCCGGTTCCATGTCTGGAAATGTTCGGGTCCGGGTTCGGCGTAGCCATGTTCCTAACTTTCTCTTGCACTTCAGGGCCTACATCCAAGTATGTCACAATGGCACCGAAAAAGTCAGATCTCCCGCTTAACGCATCGGCGACAATGTTATACTTCCCCTTGACTGGCTTCAGTTCAAAATCGAACTGATCAATCTCAACGGCCCACCTTGTCAGTTTAGGTGTCATACGGGCCTGTGTCTTGAGCCAGCGAAGTGTCTCATGATCAGAGTGCACTTTGAAGTGGCGTCCCAGTAGATAATGTCATCAGTGACTCAGGGCTTCCCAGAGAGCAAACAACCCTCTTTCATACGTGGAAACAGCGACCTTCTCACTAGGGAGTCGACAGGACATAAGCTCAACTGGGCTGTACCCCTAGCCATCGTCTTGCTGGAGTACGACTCCTATTCCGTATTGACTGGTGTCGGTGGTCACTACGAAAGGCAAAGATGGATCTGCAACTTTC